ATTTTAGAGATCATCTACAACATTGTTAATTCATTTGAATCTTAGTAGATTTCTCTAAGATTTTTGGCTCACTTTTGACTAAACCATCAACCATTCATGATGTTAGAAATTTTTTTTGTGAATAATGTTAAACTGTTAAATTTTTATTTACATATTTACACTAGTTATAATAAAATAGTTAAATGATAATAAGACAGTGAGTTCCTTTAAATATTTTAAATTTTTAAAGGTATTTATTTATGGTTTGTTTAAATTTTTATTAAATGCACCAATCTCATAATGAGTGTCATAAATTTTTTGCTTATATATAATTGTCATGCTCTTCACAAAATGTGTATAAATATATACTTTTTATGTATAGTATATATATATATATATATATATATAAATGTGTGTGTGTGCGCATCATATATTCTTCAAATTTAAACTCATATAACATAGAAAATTATTTTTCATATTTTGGTATTGTCTATTCCTCAAGTTTGTTTTCAATAGTGGACAGTATTTTTATGAAAATTGTTATTTTAATGCCCATTCTTTATAAAGTGACAACATGGATCACATGAGAAGAAATACTTCTCTAACTACCATTTGGATTTGAGGACATCAGCCATGCTTCTCAAAGAACATAATGCAAATTGTCAAATTTAATTTCACCCTACAGAATATCTGCTTCTAATAGCAAAACAGAGCAAAATCATTTTACATATAAAAGTTTGTATATTTTCTCTCATGAAAATATATTAATGAAAGTTTGGCTTTAAACTAATGCAATGTAAAATAAAATAAAAACATACATATAAACGTAAAGAAAAAATAAGTAGATTGTTTATATCTCCAAGTCTTAGTTACATTTGTGAGTTAGTTTGGATATCTTTTAGATTCTAATGATAATTTATTTCCTTAAATCAAACACTGGATTACTAAGAAATTTGATGCATAAGTAAAAAAGACTTCATAGTTCCTAATGAGTCTCTAACAATGTAGAATCTCTCATAAAATAAACATCTTATGAGGATTCAAATTGATTTGAAATGAAAATATTTATTTTACATTAATTTTACAATGTGTACCTGTACATTAACATTTATGTCATTATGCATAGTAATCATATATATTAAAATTGAAGATATAGGTCAATGCAAGAATTGGTCTAGCTATAACATTCAAACTTTCTATTTTGCAGTTTTTGAATTCAATTAATCTTCATGAATTGGGTTGTAAAAATAAGAATTTATTTCTTGTGTGATATGATAATAAAAGACAACAGCGAATATACTGATAATCATAATAGATTAATGACAGGGATATGGTTGAAGAAATAGTAAAAGTGTGATAACACTTCTGAGATTATCAAATGTTAATTATTCTGGATTATGTACTAATAAAATTTCAAGTAAAACTGCATTAACACCTACACAATAGACTGGGATAAATTATTATGATGTGAAACCTTTTTTTTCTTTTTTGGTATCTGTGATCGAATTCATGACTGCCCGCGTGCAAGAAAGGCGCTGAGCTAAATCCCCAGCCCCAGATGTGAATCTTCTTGGAATTAATAGAATAAACATTTTAATTTCAATTTTAATGCTTCTGTTTGTATAGATATATTAAAATGATATTAACTTTTATAATTTGTATTTGTTATTCTCTTATTTATTTAAACAGACAAATTATTATCCCATAACAGCTCTTTCACAGTTGTATAATTGTAAAATGCTTATTGAAAGCATGTGGTGTGAAATTTAATAACAGACACCTGGGTTCAGTGGTAGGTTTTTGAATTTTGCATGTCATTCTTTTATCTTGTTAAAACAGTTCCTTATCAGTAAAATTTTGTAGAAACAGTTCTAAACCCAGAGGTATTTTTAATATGACTTGGAGAAACTTCTACTGAAAGACAAAGAAATAATTTTAATTACAGTGATATGTGTGTCAGTAGAAAACATGAAAAATTGTTTATCATAACTCAAAAAGAACACAAAAGTCATCAGTGCCAATATTTTCTCGTATAGTAATATTTCCATGACTTGTAAATAGTTGATAACTGCTACACCATTTTTCTTTCACACAGTGTAATTTAGTAATTTATTTTAAAATTTATTTTTATAAATTAAGTCACAAAATCTCTGATATTGGTTATTTAATGTCAGATTTTTTTTTAATTATACATTATGATCAAACAGTTCTGCAAATTTTTTCATGGCTAGTTTTCCATTTTGAAAGTTTGAGGTTTAGACAGGCACATAGATGGCAATAGTAATTCTTGATATTCAGTAACTGTACACATTAACTCATTATGTCTTCAAAAGTATCTACAGGCAAAGCAAAGCAACCATTTAGAAGGAAAATACAGTGTATTCTGCACAGTGTATGCCATTGTTCAATATTGTTTAAGATCCAGAATTGGTGAAGTTTCTTCCTGAAGGCTCAGATAGTTTCATATATTTGCATTCTATTGGACATAATGGTTTTTATATTTTACTCCATCAGCTAACTAGCATTTCAGATGCTTATTGAATAGTTCACATTGATTTCCTAATTAAGTAATCCACTATAATTGTATTTATCCAAAATAATACTTTAAAAATTATTGCCACTCATGGTAATATCTGCAAGAAGCAAACACCCTGGCTACATCTGTTATGCCTTGTTTGTGTTTGTCTTGATATTTTTATCGGACAACACTGTCATTTCACATTTTAATTGTCATGACTGTATTATATAAAAAGATAATAAATAAAATGTTGACAAGAAGACATTTAAATCAGACTTAAGATATTTGAATATTTTTCTAATAATTGCTGAATTAGTTTTCCCCTATAAATGCTTAGGCATGTGAATGATTTCATTGACAATTTACAAAGACTGCAAATGATCAATAAATGCACAACAAATTCTTCAAGATTTCCAGTCATCTGAGAAATGCATTCAAAGTGTAGTTATCATCAAGAAATCAATCAACATCAAATGCTGGGACAGGGGCTGTGAGGGAAAAGGAGACATTGTACATTGTTAGTGGAAAAGCAAACTAGTAAAACCACTGTGGAACTCAATCCAGAAGTTCGTCAAATGCAAAAGATAAAAATCATAATTATATATTTTAAAATTAATCTAATATTACAATTGAGCAAATTTAACCTATATCTCTCGATTTTAAAATGTCACCATTTTGTGCCTTGAAATATAATTGATCATAATTTATTGCCCACATTTATACCAAACAACTTATATTTTAACAGATAAAATCACACAAGACCAACAGAAGCAAAAAAGGATAAAGTATCTAAGGATAAAGTAGATTAAAGAATCAGTATATGAAACAAATATGCTCCCATGACCAAACACTTTATTTCAATTCAAAAGAAACTTTTCTCATTTTTTATCTGAATACATCTTAAATATTAGCAAACTGTTGTTGAGTTGGAACTTAGATACATCTTGTTTCAAGGAAAATGATTATATGCAGGACATACAATCTGTCCATACACTAAAGACCTAGAAAATCCAACTGAGGACCTGGTACCCACAGCAATATTCTACATGAATTTGGCTGAAGACCTTGACAATGCCCCCGGCAAATCCATCTGGAGGCCTGTGGCCCACTACAATAACTCGTGCAAGTTGGCATTCTTTTTTTTTTTTTTTTTCTTTTTCCTTTTTATTGGTACCAGGGATCAAACTCACGACTGCCTGCTTGCAAGGCAGGTGCTTATGCCGCTGAGCTAAATCCCCAGCCCCTCTCGTGCAAGTCTGATTCATGAACTTGTGGTAGGAAGGCCCAAAGGTGAGCAGTGCAAGCTAGAAAGTCTTATGCCAGTGCGACAAAGGATCTGTGCCAGTAAATTGAGAGTTCTACCCTGGAGGCAAGAAGTGATGCTCAAAATAAGGACCAGGCTCCCCCAAAGAGAACTGCAGTCATTCTCAGCAACAAGGTCCACAGTCCCCCTGACAATAGCAGCTTTTCAAGGAAGCTACTAAAACAAGCTCTTCCATGAGAACCAGCAGCTCTGAAAGAACCAACAGCTCCAAACAACACTTAGGAGAACTCACAATGCTACTTTTTCCTCTTCAGGTCTCTATTTTATGCTGGCAGCAGTCCTCAGGTGGGCCATCCACACTCAGCACCATGCTGATTCAGTTCAGCTGCTATCACAAGTTGACCACCAGTTACCAACGCACTACACATTTTATGGCCTGTGCCTGCATTAATCAGAATTCTCTCGACATTTGCATACAATTTTAGCTAAGAGTTACTATCTTAAATAAACTTTCATAAAATGATACTAGTAGAAATAATAAAAAAATTAAATTTGAATAACTCAACAGTACTATCTTGAATTGTGAGTCTTTTATTTTACCATAAGCACTCCATGAATCATTTAAAAATTATGAAATCTGTCTGTAGGCAATATATGTAACTACCTGTAAAAATTATGAATAGTACATTAAAACTTATTAATATTCATGTTTCATAAAATACTTAGCTGAATTATTCATATCCCATTTAAAAATGCATTTCACATTCTAAAAGAATTGCTTAAAAAACAATTTGGAAGAAATTATCTTCCAAATGGGGTGACAATTACTTCAATGGGAAGAAAAACATATCATTTAATAGGTGAATTATTGTTTTAGATATTAAAATAACATTAAGCAAATGTTTAAAGTGAATGTCTTATTTTGTTGGGCTAAAACTAAATAAGTCAAATAAAATATCTTATTTAATATTTGCAAATATTCCTTAATTATTTGGACTCCCATGGGCACTAAATTTTATGGTTGTCATTATCTTTATAATAAATCCATGTGTGTTTGCAAATACTATAAATACATTACAATTAAAATACGAGTAGAGATTCACAGAATTCTTTAGGCTTTTTGACTTTGAAGATATTTCTGGTTTAAAAATACCAATTTTAATGTCAAATGAATTTTTCCATGACAGTACCAAAATGTGTGAACATTAACAGTTTCACACTCTCCATTATATTTTTTTTAGTTGTTTCTTTCTAATGAATAGATTTTTACATTGCTAAAGTTCTGAAATAGCTAACAAACCAGAGAAAGACAACTTTCGGCTACTGCTTAAAACCACAGCTTCAGAAAAGTGTAAGCTTGATTCAGAGTCAATCCTTTATTTTCATGCAAAACATTACTTTAGTCAAAAAGTTAGTAGTTCTTGGATTGTATTCACAGAGCTTTCTTCATAGACTTGTGGAATAAGGTCACATATTTTTATCAACAAATAATTCCAAAAGCAAGAAAATTTATTTCAAATTAATTTAAGAATGGGTTTCTCTCTCATCAGTTTTTAAGGAAATGAAACTTCTACCTGAAGATCAATTTTATGTGGTATAAAATTTACCCACAGCATACTACATGTAAGAAAATACGTATTTCCCCCCTAATTTCACTTAAAACAAACCATATTGAAAGCATACAGTTAAATTCTTGATGACATGTCTCTTTGCTTCTTGGCATTTTTGATCAAAAAATGTTGGTAATCTTTCAATTTAATATATATCGTGACAAAAGCAATAGATTTTCTTTTAAAATAAATAAGTAGGTGATTTATATTATCAATATGACATTTGCTGAGAGCATTTCAAAATTGTTTCAAAGATCTGGATAACCTGTGCTTAGCTTTATTTTTCTTATGTGAATCCTAATGGCAGAAAAACTGCTTTGATTATATCCACATGTACGCAATACACAGAAAACAAATTGAGTGGCTTTACAACTTTTACTGAGTTTTTAATGTTAAAATCCTATATTCAAAGTATGTTTACTGGGTCTGTTTAAAGTCACATCATTTTTCTAAGATATTTATTTATTTCTCTTTTATTTTTTCAAATCACAAACGGACTCATTCATCTCGAAAGAGCATGATTTGTAAGAGTATGTCTGATTGTGTGTGTGTGTGTGTTTATGTCTTCTTTATCCTGTTTAAACAATTGAAACTTTACTTATTGTTTAATTGGTTTTGTTATGCTAATATGGCACTTTAACTGAAGTCAATGTTTATTTTGGTTCACTTCCAGTTACTTTTCAAATTGAGTTGAATGTTGACAAAATTAACATAATATTGACCAGGATACTGAGTCAAAGATAAAAGTCCTTCTTTGTAGTCTTCCTTTTTCTATTGACAAATATATTGCCATGGTAGGGGCAACTGAATAATAGCTTGTCATTACATTCACTGACATAGCAAACGTCAAAAGCATTGTTAAACTTCTTTCATTTGTTCACATTAACCATGAAAAAGAAGTAAAGTTATTTTAAATCTTACATAGATTTTATTTTTTATAGATTATATAGATTTTATTTTATATAGGTTTAATAAAGTGGACATGTTCTTGTCTCTGGCACAAAATACTTGACATGTGCTTGAAAGAGGAGAGGTTTATTTTGACATAACATTTATGTGCTTTGAGTCCATGACTGGCTGGCTCCAAGGTAGAAATAACATGCAGGACAGGATGGTAGAGAAATGCTACTCAGTGCTTGGAGGCCAGAAAAGTGAGAGAAAAGAGGATATGAGGACAAGCATACATCCATTCATGTCCCACTACTGACTTTTGGGCGACATTTTATATCTAAACAACAAATATATTGTCACAATAATAATTACATTACTTGACTCTGTAAAGAATCAGTCTAAATCTGTTTTTACTGAAGATCTCTAGTAAACTTAATTTGATATAAACCTGACTTTTAAAAACAATTTTAAAATGTGATACATATAATTTTTAAAAATATATGTTAGTGCATCCCTTGCAAACATTTCCTAAAGCTTACAATAGCACAATAAAGATGTAAAGTTTCTATTGTAAATTTAAAGAGTCAAGTACGTATAAAAATTTGAATTTGAAGGATTTGAATATTTGTGAAGACGCATCCAAGTTACAAGTATTATGCTGTTGGGTTTGAACTTCATTACCCCTTCCCTGAATGTTATAATGCATTAAAAACATTTTAGAGAAATTGGTAATATGTGGCTAATTCTGATTAGCTCCATTTCTTGAAGTTGCAAGGGCTAACTTGCAGCAAGATAAATAACTTCCATTTTACCCAAAGAGAATTTTAAAGTGTTATTTCTTTTGTCAAGCACTTCTCTCCCTATACAGTTATCTACCTTTCAAAACATAGCATTAAAACATACTTTATGGGCTTCTTGAACATCTCAAATTTTCTCTTCCATAATAACCTGAATGTATGAGTATCTAAAAGTTACTCTGCCACACATTAGAGTTCTTTTCATGTTCCAGAATATTTATCTGTCCACATTACAATAATTTGTAAAATCATTGACAATTCTCTACTAATTGAGGAAGAAAACTGCCAATTCTAGATGATTATAAAATGTGTGAATTTCAACTCAAATCCCAATTCTTGCAGTAATTTCCTCCAAAACATTCTTATCTGCCTACCTCACTTCTCCAAGGCCCAGCCATAATTATATTTAACACTGAATGCAATCACATATGTTTCCTATTTTGTTACTTCAGTGATTTCCATGGACTTAATACAGAAAAATCTATAACCTGTACCATAGATGTTGTTAGCTAAAAAATAAACCATGTCTTTAGTAATGAAAGACTTTATTTAAAAGTGTTATTGTTAAACACTAGCAAGGTGACTATGCTTTGGAAGATGAACAAAAAGAAGTGTGAAAGAACCATCTTCAGATCTGTAACCATCTCACAGTGCAGACTGAAAAGAGGTTTTTTGTTTTTGTTTTTGTTTTTGTTTTTGTTTTCCAAAATGAGAGATAAGACCAGAGAGACGTTTCATTAGGATATTGGAATGAACTGGGGTTGTGCATGATCACAGACTGTTTTATTATAAAATTAGCTTTATCTCAGGAGTTGACATTGTGGAGAAGGGGCCCAAGCAGAAAATGTCACATTTCAGAACCTTGATGTGAGAAGAAAAGTTTAGCTGAAGTTCAATCAAGTTGAATTTGGGGCACTTTACTCTGATTAAATAGTGCATACAAATATTTTAGCTAAACAAAGTTTGACAATTTCGTAACATGCACCTTAGAGTTGGAAATTTGCATTTGGTAGAAAAGGAGTTTCTCAAACAAAACAAAAGAGGGGAGATTTTGTTGATCCCTGCTCTTTTTCTGTATCTTGGGGCTGTCTGTGGTAATATTCAACATTGTTATACTACAGTGCTGTGCTTGGCCTGATGCATTTCCCTTACCCCATATTTGCCCTTGTGTTCTCCTTTAGTGTGTGTTAATCAAAAGGTCTACTCCGGCTTCTTAAATACTGAGGGTAGTCTGACCTAAGATTTGTATTTTGTCAGCATCCTACCTAAATTTCCCTCAGCCTGTGTGTTCTCATCTCAACATCCTTGCCAAACAGAATTCAGACTATCATTTTCTCAGTAACACTGCTTCTCAACATCTAATTTTTTCATTACGAAATCATCATGTTATTTTTACTTTGTGCTTCTTAAGTCTCAGGACATAACTTATTTTTTTCATTTATTCATGCATTCCTCTCCAACCAAAATAGCAGGCCATAGTAACACATGCCTATAATTTTTGAGAAGTTAAGGCAGAAGGATGGTCAAGAGTTGGAGACTAGCCTGAGCTAAATAGTGAGTTCAAGGCAAGTCTGAACTATAAAAAAAGACTCTGGCTGGAAAAGCCAGATGAAGAAACAAAACAAAACAAAAGGCAGAACCTCCATGAACTGAGCAGCATGAGCTGAAGGCTTGAACAGAGAACTCTATCTAGCTGTGCAACCTCAATACCTCCCTCAGAACCTGGTAGCTCCCTGCCAAGCATTACCAAACATCTGGGAAGCTTTGGTACATCATTTGGGTCCTGGCTGGGCCCCAGCCAGTGACCCCAAAGAGCTGGGGAGGCACTGTGGGCCGAGTGGCATGAGCTGAAAGCCTTAAAATGAGCCCCACCTAGTCATGCAGCCTTGGGATGTCCCATAGAACATAGTAGGGTCCCACCCAGTGATCCCAAGTAGATTGGGATCTGTGCTATGCCACGTGGAATGAGCTGAAGGCCTGCACAGCATACTCCAACCAGCTTTTCAGTCTCAATACATCACTCAGAAGCTTGTAGGGCCCCACTCAGCAACCTCAAGCAGTCAGGGAGCCTCAATGTGGAATATGGGGTGTGCTGAAAGTCTGCCCACTGTATTGCCCCCATTTAGGGAACCTTTGATAGCCACTAGAGACCCAGTAAGATCTGCCTGATGAACCCCACTCAACTGGGGAACTTCCTGCAGTACAGACAGATACCTCAACCCAGGAAACAATTGAAACTTTGCAAACTCCTCTGGGCTGACCCAGAGGAATATAGGAAAATGTCAACACAAAACAGTAAAATGCAATCTCAAACTTCCATCCCATCCTAAACAAGCCTAGGAGACATGGACATAGAAGAAATCAAGGGTTTGCCTTGAAACTTTTGAAATAATAGCAATTGAAGTAAAGAAATAACTCCATGAAGCCTTAAAGGAACGCTGATCAGAAATAATCTCTCAGGTAAAACACAAAATGATAAACATAATGAAAGAAATGCTGAACACATCTAAAGAAGACATAGTTAAAAAATAGAAGAACATTGTAAAATGATGGGAACCTTGAGTAAACAATAGAGGAAATAATTAGAAGGCATGAAACAGATTCAAAGCAATACACAGGAAATCAAAAATTTCATCAAAAGATAGCAAATTTGCCTCAATGAAAGTGAAGATAGACTTTCAGAACTCAAAAACAGGACTGCAGCTAGTAAACAAAGGAAATATATTTTAAAATAACAAGGAATCAGGAAATAACAATTCAACAGTTGCAAGATGATGGAAAGAAAAACATATGATTGATATGTATAAGTGAAAAAGAAGGTGACAACACAAATGGTATCAAGATTACAGAGGTAATAGGCAAAAATTTTCCAAACATGAATATGGAAGCTGACATATAGATAAGTGAAGCATATAGAACTTCAAATAACCATAACAAAATAAATCTATACCCAGGCATATCCCAGAATACCAACATGAGGAGAGAATATTAAAAGCTGTTAGAGAAAAGAAACAAATCACCCATAAAGGAAGGCCACTAAGAATCACTGCAGACTTCTCATCACCAACAATGAA